GCTTGAGCCACATCCCCAGCCCCCTCCAGACTTTTTTATAATTGTTATTTTTAAATTTTGAAACTGGGTCTTGCTAAATTGTTGAGGCTGGCCTTGAATTTGCCATCCTCATGTCTAAGCCTCAGGAGTTGCTGTGATTACAGCTGTGTGCTCACATACCCTGCTCAGATGTCACTTCTTGTGCATTTCCGCTTCTATATAAATTTACTTTATAATCATTAAGAAGTTCCAGCTGGGCCTGGTGGACACGCCTATGATTCTAGCGGCTCAGGAGGCTGAGGCAGGAGGATGGTGGGTTCAAGGCTAGCCTCAGCAACAGCAAGGCGCTAAGCAACTCAGTGAGACCCTGTCTGTAAATAAAATACTACAAAATAGGGCTGGAGATGTGGCTCAGTGGTCGTGTGCCACTGAGTTCAAAACGCGGTACCCTGCCCCCACCCCCAAAAAAGTTCCATGCCAAAACTTCTTGGGATTTACATTAGAATTGCCTTGAAATTTTAATTTGGAGATTTAACATCTTTAAAATAGTATCTCTCCATCCATTATATAACTTCATTTAATTTTTACAATTTTTTTAATATTTATTTTTTAGTTATAACTGGACACAACATCTTTATTTTATTTATTTGTTGTTATGTGGTGCTGAAGATCGAACCCAGGGCCTCCCACGTGCTAGAGGAGCGCTCTACCACCAAGCTACAACCCCATCCCCTTCATTTAATTTTTAATGGCTATTCAACCAAGTTTTATAGTTTWAATTCAGGTTAATTTGTTAAATTGTAGCTTTTGTTGCTATTATAAATAAGGTCTTTTTGTTGTTCTCATTATTTTCTAATTGATGATGTATAAAAAGAACAGACATTCTCCACTCAAATCCCATCTCCATTTATGGCAGTTTTAGATAGATTTACTCAACATTTCTTGGCCTGTGTTTGTTCCTTTATAACACGGGAATAACAARGCCAAGGATGCATTTGGATAATGAAGACGAATCACCAAATAAACCACGACTTTCAGCTAGTTAAGATCAGGGGTAGGACTGGAGAAACAGGCTGAGAAATGCTTTCATGATGAGGAAGGAAGCTGGGGAAAATTTTATGTTGCATTTAGGAAACTGCCTAATGAAATGAAGTGAATTCCCATAAATATTCAAAACAACGCACAAATACAGCGACTAATTTTTAAAAATAAAATTGGAAAATATTTTCTTCTTGAATGCGTTGGGGAAGTCCAGAATGAGTGTCCTTCTGTGATCTTAACAGACTCCCTACTTCTTAGTYGGTACCACCTTTCCTAAGTAGCTAGAGCAGAGCATTCCGGGTTTTGTAGTAGAGGAGTTGTTCCTATGGGCTCACAAGTGCSCTGGAGACTATATGTCCCAGAAGCCTCTCGGGCCGGTTGTTTGCTCGTCCCTCCTCCTGACTTCCGGCGTCGCTGCGTTCTCAAGGGCCAATCGAGAGACTGGGATGGCTCGTTCTTGGAGCTCTGATTGGTGCATTCGACCAGGCTGCCTGGGTTCAAATTTTCAACGGTACTGAATGATCCCCGCGGCTGGCTGGCGGCGCTTGATTGTCAGAACCGTGGCTAGGCGAAGCGAGGTGAGCGGTGGGAAGGGAACTGCGAGCGGCTGGGGCGCGGGGCTTCCCTTCTCCCCGACTTTCGAACGTCTGAGAGGTCGCCCCCCCCACCCTTAGCCCTGTGAGCGTCTCTGGGCCGGGCCTCTGAGGCGGTTGCGGGGTTGGGGCGCCGCCTAGGCGGGGGCTTCGGGCCGTTCTTCTTTTGGTGACAGGGTTTTGCGGTGAAGGCGGCCTGGGAAACCGGGTGGAGAAGAATTTGCGGGAGGCTGTCGGCCAGCCACAACGTTAACGACCACTGTTATTGTTCCTGCGGCGCCAACCGGTGGGAAGCGTTTTGCGGACCGAGCCATCCGCGTGCGATTTTTCACTAGATTTTTGCACCAGTGAGTTAGGTGCTATTTTTCACTTTACAGAGACGGAAACCGAGGCCTACGATCTGTATAAGTTTCGAGAAGCGGGTGAAATAGCGGCTCCGCCCTCAAGAAATGAGGCGTTTGGTGAAGGAAAACAAAGGTGGTCGCACGCCACTACATTTCAGGACGATTGGGCTGGGGCTGGGGCTGGGGCTCAGGCTCTGGCTCTGCGGCTGAGCGCTCGCCTAGGACGTTCGAGGACCTGGGTTCGATCCTCGGCACCACATAAAAATGAATAAAGGTGTTGTGTCCAACTGCAACTAAAAAAAAAAAAAAAAGATTGTGTAAGATAAAAGGGTGTGCAAACATAATCGAGGGGGAGAGTGTAATGTCACTTGAATTCGTCTTGTTGGGAACTTACAGTTGTCCATATTTGCTTATCCCTTGGTATGAGTTACTAGTTTTGCCTTTCTAATTTCCTTTCTTAGAACATTTATAGATGTATAGGAGGGGAAAGGGAACCAGAACCAGGTTATAATATTGAAGAATTGACGTAACTTTTATTTTCTATTTCTTTCTYTCTTGTTCCTTTGTACTGGGATTCAGCCCAGGGGCGCTTTATTTCCCAGCTTACACCCCCAAACCTTTTTTTTTTTWAATTTTTTTATTTTGAGGCAGGGTCTTTGTGTTACCGAGGTTAGCCTTGAATTAGCAATCCTCCTACCTTAACCTCTGTTTCTTGATATATGGTTTCTTTTTCTGATGTGAAATTTTCTAAGCAGTTTCGTAGCAGAGACTCCCCAAGGGATAGATAACTGGGAAGGGATTCTGATATTGTTTGTCAAGGAAAACTTGGTAAAGTAGAAAGAAATTAAAAGATTAATGAAAAAGGTATAAAATTATAAATAGGAAAGATAGTAAAAGTTTGTTTATATTTTAAGTGAACCTGATGTTTGAATAGATGTTAACCTTTAGGTGTTAGTGTTCCTAAATGGCAGGCTTTGGAAATATTGCTTTAATCTATTGGTGTTCATCTATTGGTGTACTTCCTGGTTCAGGCTTAGCTTGTTTTGACATCCCGTGGCCTTTGAATTGAATTTTTCTCACTCATCAGATGTTAAAAATAAATAGAAGTGCTTTTTTTTTGGGGGGGGGTACATTTGCTGCTGCAATAAGAATATTCTTGTGTGTATTGGCCTCAGTGTATTACACAACATGTCATGACACCCCCAAATTAAATTTGAGTACCTTTGGTTGGTTAGGGTGTCTCAGTATTGTCATTCTTTTTTTTTTTTTTTTTCCCATTTGTAGATGGACACAATACCTTTCTTTTATCTATTTATTTTTATGTGTTGTTGAGGATTGAACCCAGTGCCTCACATACACAAGGCAAGAGCTCTATGACTGAGCTGCAACTCCATCCCTAAGTTGTCATTCTTTGTTCAAATTTTTTTTGGCTCCCTGCTACTACTTAGCCAATTAATTGAGGGTGTACTATGTGCTTAGATTGGTGTATTCAAGAGCTTTCTGGTATGCTCGGAGACAAATAGATTTAATTCATATTGCCAAGTGACAACAAGACAAGACAGCATCTGAGTGCTCTACTGTTTGTTATTATAAGTGTTCTGGCAGTTTAGAGGTGGCTTTGTGAAGTAGCTGGGATACAGATTGGCTCATTGAGAGAGAGTTTGATTAGACAGGGACTAGAGCAGCACTGAGGRACTGGAGCAGTACTGGTGCATAGGAATCACCCACTAAATATCTGTTGAATACAAAGGAGAGATCTGCCTAAATCACTACAAAATTACAGATATGAAAAACTGAATTGTATTCAAATAGGGTTGTTGTTTTGTTTGTTTAAATCTTCAAATTAATCACATAAAATGGGTTTATTTTGATCATGATTATCCTTAAATGTGTACAATCCAACCTTCATAAAAGTAATTTATCCTACARTTGCAATTAAACTTGTCCAGGAGAAGGTATTATCAGGAAAGTTCTTCATTTAGATACTGAAAGAGTTTCAGAGTTCTATGTTGCCTATGTATTTTTTCCTTCAACTTTTTCTGGGCTTCTCTACTCCCTATCTTCCTTCCTACCCACCCCCTCTTTTTTTGACATGCTGGGAAAAAAGAAAGGAATGGAATTTAAATGTCCTTTGACAAACTTCATTTTCTTTGCCATGGCTGAAGTTAGGAAACAGACTTGACCATAGGGCAATTGAACAGCCCAAGGAATTCTGTGGAGAAATCTGTATTTAATACAGAGACATACAGATGAGCAGCCCGAAATATTTTGTGAAAAAAGGGATAGATAACTGGGAAGGGATTCTGATATTGTTTGTCAAGGAAAACTTGGTAAAGTAGAAAGAAATTAAAAGATTAATGAAAAAGGTATAAAATTATAAATAGGAAAGATAGTAAAAGTTTGTTTATATTTTAAGTGAACCTGATGTTTGAATAGATGTTAACCTTTAGGTGTTAGTGTTCCTAAATGGCAGGCTTTGGAAATATTGCTTTAATGTGAGACTATGGAATACAAAGACACCAGAAGACAGCAAATATACACTAAGAAGTCTAAGGATACTTTTACAGTGATGCAGCAGCAATCTGTTAAGCAGTTTGGCATGTTAGGAGGTCCATGATCAGAAGCAGCCTTTTCTGGTGGGGGGCAGGGTATGGGGTATTTAACTGAGGGGCACTCACATTGAGCTACATTCCCTAGCCCTTTTTATTTATTTATTTATTTATTTTTGAGACAGGGTCTCATTCAGTTGCTTAGTTAACTAGCTGAGTCTGGCCTTGAACTTGTGATCCCCCTTGTCTCAGCTTCCAGAGTCACTGGGATTACTGTGTGTTAAGTTATTGCACCTGGCTCATCCTTTGGTTATGTTATGATTCATGTTCTTTTATTTATGGACCCCTACTATTGTTCATTAACCTTTCTTATTACAAAGAATTTGAGTCTTTTTCATCACCTTTCTGCTATTTCCAGGTTTTTAACAAGAAATATCTTCCTGACTTCAAGATTTCAGGAAAGAGTATATTGCAACTTTTGAGTCAAGCCTGTAGGCAAGTGGATTGACAGACCCATTAAACCACAGGTAAGGTTGTGTTCACAGTGAGTTACATTAAAAAAGAAGGGAAACATTAATATGTAATGTTAAATAGGTCCCTTTWCAAGGTAACATTTTGAAAGGAAACTTATGTCATATGTAAAAACAAAGAAAAATCACCCATTTTCCTACCTCTTAGATAAAATAAAGCTATCATTTTGATAGATTTCATTTTTTTTTCTGTGCCTATATTTTGTTTTAAAAATTAGAAAATAATAAAAAAACTAAAAACCTTTGTTGCTTTTTATTTACATAGTAATTAGGTCATGAATATTTATTTACCCATGCTAAATTTTTCTATAATCTAATTTTAATGGTTATATGGTATTCCATTATATGATTCTACTATAGTAATTTAYCCACTGAAATTGCTAGCCAAATTATTTTTAATTTTCAGAAACGCCAAAACAAGTGGCTGGAGCTGGGGCTCAGCGGTAGAGCACTCGCCTAGCTAGTGCGAGGCACTGGGTTCAATCCTCAGCACCACAGAAAAATAATAAAATAAAGCTATTGTGTCCAACTACAACTAAAAAAACAAACAAAAAAGCCAAAACAAGCCTGGCTCAGTGGCACACGCCTATGATCCCAGGGGCTCAGGAGGCTAAGGCAGGAAGATCGAGAATTCAAAGCCAGCCTCAGCAATGGTGAGTTGCAAAGCAACTCTGTGAGACCCTGTCTCTAAATAAAATACAAAATAGGACTGGGGAAATGACTCACAGTTCGTGCCCCTGAGTTTAATCCCTGGTACCAAAAAAAAAAAAAAAAATGCCAAAACAAAATTCAACATAAGAATGCTGGGTTTTGTTTTCTTTTCAGTACTAGGGATTGAGCCCAGAGCTTTGCCCATTGCTAGGTAAGCACTAAGAATGCTATTTTTAARTTTTATTTAGAGACAGGGTCTCATGAGTTGCTTAGCACTTTGCTTTTACTGAGGTGAACTTGTGATCCTTCTGTCTAAGCCTCCTGAGCCCCTGGGATTATAGGTGTGTACTATAGCACCCAACTAAGAATGCTATTTTTAAGACTTTTGCTATACCAAATGTATAATCAAGTTATACTCATGATAACACCAAGTTGCCTTATGAGATTATGTTCATTTACATATCTACTAAAACAGTATATATTGTTATAGGCATACATATGTATATTTTTAAAATAGGTAAGACATTTGCATGACACAAAAAGCAAAACAATATAAAAAGTATAAATGCAAACTATAATTGAAACTATATTATATATACGTATATAATTGAAAATAACATTGAAATTATATTTATGTGATAGCACAGGCCTGTAATCCCAGCTACTCGGGAAGCTGAGGCAAGAGGATAGCAAGTTTGAGGTCAGCCTTAGCAAYTGAGAGAGATCCTAACTCAAAAAATAAATGCAAGGGCTAGGGGTATRTCTCAGTGGTAAAGTACCCCTGGGCTCAATCCCCAGTACTATAATAGGGGGGAAAAAAAAATCTAGTCCTATCAGTTTACTTCTCCCTGCTACTCCAGGTTAAACAGTTTGTTAGATTCTTGGATTTTTTTTTTTTTTTTTTTTTGCTTGTGGGTATTTTCTAAACCAGATACCATTTAAAGTATAAAAATCTCTACAAGGCTAAGTATAATATTGACATTTGTTGATGCTTGTAACATCCTACAGCCTCCCTCAGTCCACCCTTATAAACTCTTGAAACTTCTTACTGTTGAATTATTATAATACTTTGGAATGCTACAAAGATTTCCTTTGGTAACTGCAAAGATTGGTGTCATTATTTGACCTAAATGAAACAGCATCATTGATTTTTGTATAGGTCCTACAGCTCAGGAGTGGTTTGAGATTTATTGAGTTCTATGCATAAATTAATGCAGTACTGAGTTTCTAATCTTTAAAATGGATAATATGAATTTCACAAGTTTGAAAGAGAAATGATATAAAAATATATTTGCTTTAGGTTTTTGGACAGTGATGAATTAGAACAAGTGTCCATGTGTCCTGTTCTGACTTCTGAGTGTTTGCACAGTGAGGGATTGTCATTGGATTTTAAATTGACCCAATTTTGGAAGCTTCATAGATCTGTTTCTGTAAACAGATCCGATTTCAACATAGAAGTTAGCAAACATAAATGTGGAAACCCAGAGTCCATTAAACTTTCTTCAGACTTAGTTTGTGACTTTGAATAACAGTTAAAATTGCACGCTGGATTATCTTGTAATTTACTGACTCTTGTTAATTCTTTATGTAAAGGAAAAAAAATGTAGGTGTTTTCTCTTGTTAAATGAATGTAACTCAGCTCTCTTTTGCTTGCAGTAATGTAACAGGATCTCTTATCCCTTGTGAAAGTAGGAGGGTGTTCCTGGGGAAATGGCACTGCCTGGATGGGACTATCTTAACTAACTATACTTCTAACCAAGTSTTGGCTTAACTGTGTTTATTCTGTTACATTACCAATTGCTTACCTCATGCTTTTCCCTCTAATAGAAATAAGCAAGACACATCTCACAAACTGGATAGTTTGGGAGCATCTGTCATACCAAAAGTCTTTGTTTTGCTAGGAGCTGCTAGTCCACTATTTCAGCCCTGCTTAGAATGTACCCTCTGCAGCTTTCCCCCACCCCCTCTGGTCCTGCACCTTTTGATTTATAGAGCTTGTCAAGTCTAGTTATTTTTGGTTTGAGAGTGAAGAGAGGCAGGAGGCAATGGGAGGTTAATTTCAGATGAATATGGAAATAGGTTACAATTGCTTCTTCTGCAGTCTTCCTCATGTATATTTGTCCCTATTTGTTTTTCCTTTCCATTTCTTCTCCCAGAAAAAGTCAAACCTTTATTTATTTATTTTCACAGCACTGGGGATTGAATCCAGGAGTATTTTTTCACTGACCTGCCTCCTCAACCTCCTCATCTTTTTAAAAATTTTTAAATTTTGAGGCAGGGTCTTGTTAAGTTGCATGAGTTGGCCATGAACTTGAGATCCTTTTGCCTTAGCCTCCTTTATAGCTGGGATTACCTTGGCCATTAACTTGAGATCCTCCTGCCTCAGCCTTGTTTATAGCTGTGTACTACCTTGCTTGGCTCAACATTCATTTTTTAATCTGTAGAACTCTGCAGGTCTCTTTGTCCTTTAGGTATCACTTCCATCAGGAAGCCTTCACTGACCCTCCTTCACTTTGTTCTCTGTACTTCCTGAGTGTGCTCTATTTATGCCCTGTTATTACAAGGATCATCCTGTATCCTATTTGTCTTTATTTCTCATTTGGCTGTGAGTTCCTTAAAGTCTGTTTTTTGGAAAGAAAAAGTGAGCTGTATGATATGATGGATTGGCATTTAGTAGGCAGTTTTAAAAGAACTTAACTAGATCATAACATGTGGGATAGGGCTTTTTTCCTCAGGTGAATTGCAGGATTATTCATCATTAATAACTATTTCTCCACTCAGAATATTTCTAGTTTTGCAGGAGTCTTAGCTGTGGCAGATTCAGATAATTTTGAAATATGAAGCTAATTCTYTTCTCTTGCTTGGCAACTTGGCTTGTTTGGGGGAATGTGGTTGACGCATGTCTCTTTTTTTTTTTTTTTCAGTGGGACCTGTTGACAGAAATTCAATCTTGATTAAGGGGTGCAGGAAGGCATCCAGTTCCCACCATGCTTTTGGCTCATTTAAATGGTTGTCTTTAGCTCCAGCTAGTTCCATTTTCTGCTAGATCTTAAGGACTTTAATATTTGAAGTTTTTAACCTTCTAATATTTACTATTTATGGGAGAGATAGTGTGGTGAAACTGGCATGACCCAGCAGTTACTACTGGTTTTCTTTATGTATTTGTGCTGTTTGTTGTCATTGAAGAGAATCAGGGTTCTTAATTCATGTTTGTTTATTCCTATTTTTCAGGGAGTAGGGATTGTCTTATGCATTGGTTACACAAGACCAAAAGATAGTTTAAACAAAGTGTTTTTTTTTTT